CAATGATTAGACGGAAGCCTCAAAACACGATGGCCATTTTAAAATGCTTCTTAAAACATTATATTACTAAACGAGAGACTGCCTGATCGAACATTGATAAGGTATTGCCTTAGCGAGTCCACCTTTTGAAGTAAGAGTTAGTTTTCTCCAAAGTATATCAGTATTGACGAAATGAGAGTTTCCGTAGGCACAAAACTAAAACTTTTCCCATAAATAAGGAATATAAGTAAGACTGCCATTTTTAGAGGCAGCAACAATTATTTCAACACAGATTTACATTACTGATGAGATGAAATTAAAACCAACGAAACTGGCGTTGACAAAATATCTCCCATTTATGCTTAAGTTATACGGTCATTTAGTATTATTCATTCTTCTATAAAAGGAAACTATTTTTCAGATGGCTGGAAAAAGTCAGTTTTAATGACTTAGCAATAATATGTACAGTTACGGATATGTATAATTATGGAAGTTACCTGGGAATAAAGCTCGGGTTCGGTAGGTATTATTGGAAAAAAACATTAAGGACGGACTCTCAAAGGTTCTAGTAGCAATGGCAATTTTTTTGACGTTTACTTGAAGGTGGTAGACACTGATTCAATAGAAATACTAAAAGGATATCGAAGTTCCATTGTCTTTAAGGTCGTTTACTGCACTTGTTGCATAATATACTATTTCTAACAATTTATCCATAACAACACTGTTATTGGGAATATTTTTTAAAATATTGATTTGAAACCAACTTTGAAAAAATTAGACAATTGTATCCAAGTTGGAACCCTTAATATCCTTCAAACAACCCCAAGCAGTTTGGCACAGATCCGTGGTCTGACCCAGCGTGTATTATGGTGATGCGTTCAACCCATCCTTTGGATACGGTGTCGTGTGTATCGAACCATGTTTTATTTCTTGAAAATAATTAAAACTCCATGTATGTGATTGCATTATTTGCAGTTTGTCTATTTTTTTCTTCTAGCTTTTTTTCCAGCTTATCCCAAATATACTTTCCTTCTTGTTAAGTGCTGATCACTTTTGTCTAAACAGTGAGTTTGCAAATCATTCAAGTTTCCCAACGACATCGAAATAATTTTCAAAGAAAACAACCTTTTCCTAATTTAACAAACAAAAAGCCCCCAAGGACGAATGACGCGATTCGCCTGGGCAATTTGGAATCGGCGTGATTGTCGGTTTCCGGCCGTGTAATTTCGTAGGTTCCGAAATATCGGATCCGGTTCGCGGGACGCCATTACGGCGACCTCCAAAAACTGAGGTGGTAGCAAATGGTTAGGTTAGAACCAGCGATATTTTCTATGAATGAACTTACTAGGTTAACATTTTATTACTTTGTTAAACAGGAATTCAGTTAATTGCGGGTAGTAACCTCATAGGGTTTAAAATGCAGGAACACAGCCCCTTGAATAGTTTCCCACGACGACTTTATGTATTATTCACGCAGACGGTGCAACGGATGAGGAAAAGTTGATTTAATATTTTACAGCAGCTCCCAAAAAAGGCATTTTTCCTGTTTAGTGCAAAACCGTCGAATTTGAAGATCTTGCAAAATGCATTTGAGATATAATGCATAGAAACAAAATATCAAGCATCAGGAAAAGTTATTCATCCTAAGGAAACGACAACATAATCATGAACACCTAAAGGACCAAATACAAGACAGAAAAAGGAGACCGAAAGAGTATAGTAGACTTGCGACAAGTTAAAGAAGTTATTACTATTAAAAATATTTGTAGGACTGTAATTTGTAATTTTAGAAACGCCTTACTTCGTTCAACTCAGTATGTACCTCTATACAGAGGTGGAGACCATCGAATATACCTGTAGAACTGGAAGATTTGATTAGAGTTCTGGGAGCAAGCGAGTGATCAAGGTATTAGTCTTGTTATACAGTTTGGCACAAAAGCTTGGCATGAGCCTTTTCTCTCGCCAGCCCCTATATGAAAAGAATCAAAAAATGATTTTACATTCATTGGTGAACTTAGGCAAATTTTTGAACCTACAGTTCATCAAATATGGGCATAAATTTTAATTTTTTCTGGGATTAGCAAATATTTTATATTTATTTTTATATTTTTTCGGTAGGTAACCTCTAGCTTTGTATAAGTTAGTAGACGCCACCGTTAAATGTTGTGTGTGTTCGAAGTGTTTTCGGAGCGCGAGCATTGAAGATGCCAAGTGAAATCTTGGCGAAACATCTGCAGAATTCCAGTGTGAGTTCAACAAACGAACGGATGATATCCCGGAATATATTGTCATCACATTTTCGGAACCAATTCGTTCTTATGCCATTATATTCAGACCTAATGTCAAGTCTAATACTAATTAAAACTGCTCCATATTCGAAGCCCAAGTCCAAATCACTTCGATTTTGAGGCAAATTAGTTTTTTTTTTCAAATAAAAGCGAGTTCTGGCTCCTAAAAAAGAGAAAGGAACGGCCGGTGCGCCAAAAGGCCGACACGATCTAATCCGCAAATCGCAAAGGGGTTTTAGAGAACGTTGTACGCGAAGCCTCATAGAGAAACCATCACGGCGAAAGGTTAACGATCGCAATTGGTCCAGCGGCGCGCCACCCGTTTTCTCCCGTTAACGCGATAAAAAAAACACCACACTTTGACGTATTCATAAAACATCAACCACAGAAGATACTCGCAGATCTTGCTACGTGACGCACCCACGCCGTCAAACTTATCCGGTAACCGTGGCAACCGAATGGAATTATTACTACGCGTTGTAAACTAGTGTTAAAGCGCGCAGAATGCGCGAATTTCGCCATAAACATACGAAATTGCGTCCTGTACGTTAACAAACAAAAATTCATATCTCAGGCACGTTTCGACGGTATTTTTTCGACGATTATTGCGTCGAACTTTGACCCGGCCGACACGCGTCCGTAAAACGAAAAATCCGTGCGCGTATTTACCTGTCCGCATTTCCCACGATTCCGGTTTTCCTCGACCGACGTTTCCTAAAAATTAAACCCGTTCCGCTCGTCCTGTCACCATTACGACGAAATTATGGATGTCGCCTCGCCGGAACTTTACTTAAAATTATTATAACAAACGCGCCGGCGTCGCTTAATCGTCAAATTAACTGAGTCGTTAAAACGGATCGTCGGACTCGAAAGCGACGACATATTTTTGACGTCGGCACCAAGGAACACCAACATTTAACCACGGTTTACCGATCGTCGGAACAGTCAATAACATTTTTGAGGTATAACAGCGCCCTCTTGTAGCTGCAACATCACAATCATTTGTAGGGCGGTTTATTCATTTTTTTTTCAATGTTCAGTTACTCGAGCTTAAATTCAGCGAACTGATGTAAATTTATCGCTTTCACTTTATTTTGAAAGAAATAAAATGCCTAAATTTATACTACCTATTCGTTTTAATGTTTTCATTTAGAAATATCAATAATAGTCCTTACACTACAATAGGAATAATTATCGTAAAATACTTTTGAAAAACTTGTCCCATTATACAAAAATTAATAAAACACACATATGACACAAAGCACAAAAAAATTATGCTCAATTTATTTGCAACCTTTAGAGAAATATGCCTGCCAAACTACGTACGCATATATCATACACGTGATCTGTGCATTTAACCTTATAACCGGCGAATAAAGAAGAAGAAGAAAAAGGAAGGAGTATAGGCACTGTTCGCAGTTTCTGTGGGTAGCATTGCACGAGGCAGGTTAATTCCTGTCCGTTAAATACAGAATCTGAGTTTTTCAACGTATTAAAGTTTAAACATTGTGTAAATTGTTAACACTGCACTGATTAATGTTGAACCATGGTACTAAGTCAGCGAATGATCATAGCAGTAAAGAAGTAAAGGTAAAGAAGAAGAGAAGAGGCGCTGTTTGACAGTTAATTGGTAGACCCGGTACATTATAGGTTATAAACAATGCTCCGGACGTTTCGATTCGGTTTTTTAGATTTAAAGTGATACGGGACAAATAAACGTGTATGTTTCGACATAAATCTATGAAAGAAATTTACTGTGCCCTATTTATTTATATTTTGATACGTCAGTAAACGTTATAAGAAATGCTGGCGGTGTACTTCAGAGTGCGCGGCATTATGAGAAAAAGAGCTGAAGCGTGTATCCTTCAAGGTTTAGGACACTTTCAACGATTTATCTAGTTTCTCTGTTCTACTTTTTTTCAAAAAGGCTAGTATTGATTTTTTAACAGACAATTCTGTTAAAAATTATTAATAGCAGGTAGTGATTTTTTTAAATAAGGACGGTTTATTATTTTTCTTGTTGTTAGGATGTTATGTTATTACAATAAAACTGTAAAAGTAAAAATACCAGTCACAATAAAAAGTAAAAATAACAGCTAATTGGTAACTAAAAATTAGATATTTTGTTTTAGATAGATATTTTTCACAACAAAACATAGTTAATAAAGCTTGAACGGAATAAAATCATCACCGTTACGGTCAAAATGCAAAAAAAAAATCCCAAAATGGTTAACACCATCGAAATGCAATGACGCGATGCTCATTCAGTACGATTTTACTATCATTTGTTGCGACGCTAGCGACAAGCGTGTTACGGTCGTATTTGAAGACTATTTTATGCATAAAAATTTCCTATTTTTTCTATTTTTCATTCCTACAAAATAAATAATGAAAGTTTATTTCTTTAAAAAAAAAATTGGAATAATACTACTTGGTTATCCATCATACCGCAATGGATTGGTTTCGAACAGGTAACGGTACAACTATTGTCGTAATTTCTTCCCATTTCTAAATCTAAAATCAGAAGTAAATAAATAAGTCTAGTCGTGTCTTATGTTGAGAGTTTACAACTCTAATTAATATATTGGTCAATTTTTATTTCACAATTCGCTTCATCTCCCGAAAACATCTTCCGTTGCGTTGTTTGACATTTCGCTAGATTTGCATAGTATTTTTAATGGCCGAGCTGGGTCGCAGAGCTCAAAATACAACAAATTTGTTCTCCCGTTTCAGTTAAACGTCCAGTTCTGTTCTTTATCTATGCTGCCGGTTCGACAGTTGCGGCCCGTCAGCTGGACCTCAACTCCGTAGGCAAGATGCGCGTAACGGAACCCGAGATGACGCGAACGCGGCCGTAACTCTGCGAGACGACAAAGAGCCGTTTCGCAGGAAGCTCTCGCTACGACGCAGGAAGATGACCGGAGCGTAGCGGAAGAAACTACGCCCTCCCCTGCCTAGTATTAATTTTGTTTTTCGTTTTTTAGGCACGGTCTCTTTAATTTTTCGGGCGACATAACGGGTGGCGACAACTCTGTAAGTACACACCTACATTGTCTATTAATATTGAAAAAAAAAATTTGTTTTAGACTGGTTATCGGTCATTATTTTATACGATTTTTTTCTGCAAAACGATCATTTACAACTGTATATTACTTCGAAACGGATCTAGCCTGTCCTATATAAAATTTCAACGACTTTTCGATGAAATCGGCAACGTCGCTTCATTGAAAACCTCCATGCGGTTAATTTTTGCCGAGTGTACCTTCTCCCTGTCTCTCCCATGTATAGTCTGTCTCAATCTTTGTCTAGCCATTAACAACAAATATATTTTTTTCTTTCTGATATATTTCTTAACTTAACTTAACCTCACTTTTTGAAAATTTTACTAAAATTGCAACGATATATGCCCTGTAGTTTTAAGTGGAAGAAGCATTCAGTCCGTCAAGGTTGCCAGGTTTGCGCTGGGCCTCAGACGACAAAAAATAGCGGCTGCTTTGTCCGTCTGATAATATACATATAAAAAAGTAGGTAACATAAAATCAGCCGACCACGATTTCGAGAGACTAAAGTTCCGTTTCAATTCGGGCGATACGCACAATCGATCAACCACCATACTACGTCTGGAAACCGTTAATTGACAGCATGCACGGCCTGCTTTGACGAGATAACCCTCGCGTAAATTTTCAAACGTAACGGGAAAACACGTTATCGGAATAGTATCACGTGTTTCTCGACGCGATTATGTTTCTGTGGTCTGCGATCGCGGCCGACTACCTGCCCGTAGCAGAGAAAAACGAACCCGTAGAGAATCAACGTAGCTCGTCGGGACCTGTGACGTTCGGGCAGCCAGTTTTGGTGAGCGTGATTGAATCGAGAGAAATAGCTTCGTATAATGCTAAAATACACATATAGTAGAACTGACGCGGCGAACCACTGAATAAAATACAAATGATCCGAAAAATGAGTTTTATTTATTTCGTGGCTTGAATCTCTTCAGTCTCTTTGTTCAGTGCACTGAACAACGGCTACAATCCGTCCATTATAGATAAAATTATAAATAAAAAACAAATCCAGACAATAGTAAACTCTATTTATCCGAAACCTAATACAGAATACGAACACTTTAAAACAATTACAAAAATCAGGTGTCTACAGGTTGAAATGCGGATCTTGTCCTAAAATTTATATTGGACAAACAGGTAGATTCTTCAAGAAACGCATTAACGAACATAAAAGAGCGTTTAAAAGCAATAGTCTACACACAATACACACTTAAACACAGAGAAACACATTTTTGACGACAATTTTGATATTTTACATTCAGCCACAAGAAGTAGAAAATTAAATTTATTGGAAGCCTGTACTTTTTAAAAACTTTATCTCTCACTTTAATCATAACTTTCGCAGATTTTGTTAACCATGATGGTCTTTGCCTATTAATTTTGAAAGAAGCTAAAAAGTCAAAGATAGTTTTCTTCTTCGGGTATTGCTCGAGTATTAACAATTTGTTGCAAGAATCAATGCAAGAAATAAAATCCTGAATACTCTTATTTTCCAAATCTGTCAAATTTAAATTGAATTTAAATGAACAGATTTACCAAAACGTATCAAATATTGGGCTTAAACATGCAGCACAAGAATATTTAAGTATTGTAAAAAAAATATCAGTTGCTTATTATATTTTGCAGAGAAAAAATGCTACTATCTCAGAAGCTATAGCGCAGTGGAAACATTTACAACATATCTTCGAGAATGTTGTAAAATTACCTTTATCAAAAATACAAAAAAATCGAGATCAATATAAGCAAGTACTCGCGCCATATCATATTATAGCATATATGTTAAACCCACAAAAGGAAAAATATGAGTTGACACCCCAAGAATCCTTAGCAACAAATTAACAATTTAAAAATTATTTAAAGCCAAAAGTAAATATAAAAATCTACAAGCGTGTGTACTATTTAATTCAATATGTCAACCCAGATTTGTAAACACGCCGAATGTACATTTGGTCAAAGTATAATGCTTCCAGGCCTCGTATAGATGGCGCTCCATCCATTAGTTAGTGGCAGAGACCACTAATTGTATTCCGTGGTTATTAGTTATCTGTGCCGGTCGCTCTCTGACGTTTATTCGTACGTCGATGTGTATCGTGCAGCTTCCCGCTCGAAGGAAACATATTAATTAAGAGCACGTAACTAGGTTTAATTAATCTCAGGCCTATTTAGTAATTGCGTTAGCGGGTTAATTAAGACTTACCGCGGTATATAGTTTCGCGATCGGTATCGAAGGAGAGCGAGCTTTAAGAGATTTATACCCGGTAGCGGACTCGCGGCCGTCGACGTCAAAGACATTAAAGCGAGACGCGGCAACGTCGCGTTCTGCCTGACGTAATCACGCGGTTTACGTATTAAAGGCGGCCACACGCGCGCGCGCTTGTCGTACGTTTTTCTTGCACAGCGTTAAATCGTAATGCAACCCTGAACATCGTCAATTCCAGACGTTTTTTCATTCTGGTCTATTAAATCAAAGATGGCTGTTCTCCGACAAACTCGGAGCTCCTTCGTATCAGATGAAAACATTGGGTACTGACTAGTATTTGGTTTCAAATTTGTGCAGTTTCAGTTTCATTTTTAATCTTATTTTATTTAGTTTAGTTTTTAGAGGAAAAAAAAAATATTTGTTAATAAAACATTTGTTGTCTTTGCAACTTGCATTACGAAGCAGCAACTTTAAAGTATTATATAATTTCCCAATTAAATAGGGGAAACATAACAGTTTGGCAACGCTGTACCGCCGTATTTCATTTGGCGATCACGGGTAAAATTTCCGCATCCGCTATGCTCGAAATATGCCAAATATTTTTCAACAGTTCCTTTACTTATGTTGGGTGCTTCGAAGGGACTGCTAGTAACTGTTTTATGGAACTAAATATTATACATAAAAAAGTTTTATTATAAAACCTGTTCTAAAGTGAACACACAATAATAAAAATGATTTTTTTTTGTTTACTTTGCGTACTTCGGGTAAATGCCAATAGGTTTTGTTCTTATTTAAATTGATTGTGGGAGAACTGACATATTGAAATGTTCGAACTCCAAAATTATTAGAGCTATGCATTTACATTATTATTATTATATTACATTTGTTATTATTATTATATTGCATTATTATATTACATTTACGTAGACCACAAAAATGGAATAATATATGTTTCAATTTAATTCTTTTATGTGTTAAAACTGACGCATACTTTATTTATATAATGTCTCCAAATTTGAGTATCGTCAATAAGGTATCGTCTTTTGTTTTAGTTCAGTTTTTCTAATTATAGTAAGATTATAGTAATTTTAGAAAAACGCTTTAAAATCAATGGTGAGGTGCAAGTGTAAAATTTTCTTGTTTCTCAGCGATATTCATCTATGTTTGGGAACAGTAAATTGTCCCGGCTCCTAACCTCACTTTTATACATTAACTTATAAACTGATGGAAAGTTGGAATTAATTTTAGAATAGGAAATGATATCCACTGGATTTGGCTTTCTCTGTAATTAATTATGGATAATTTGCAAACAAAAACCCGCGGTGTTACTTTCTAGGAGAAAATGCCTGATTACCAATCAGAAGAAACTGCAGTGCTACAGAGAATGAAGTGGGAACATAACTGAAAGAAACATAATGCTTGAAAGGAAATGAAATTTTAAAAAACAAAAAATGCGCTCTGGTTTCGCAAGATTGAATATAGTTTGCTAGCTTGCGTTTTTAAGGAAACCGTGATACTGTTGCATTCAACGTACAACTTATTATTTCAAGTTTGATGAATATGAATTTATAAAATATAAATATTTTTTAATAAAAATGTCCATTGCCAAGTTCTGAAATATGTATTTATTGCCAAAATATTGACTACTTCTCATACATGCTGGTTTTTGTAAGTATACTAGTATAACATTTTTATTACTACATAAACCTACCTAGACATAATATCACAAAAACTAGCGGTCTGATATCCTACATACAACAAAAATAAATAAGTAAGGTAACGATTGTATATCGTTTTCACTAACTGAATTGCCACTTCTCAGCTCACTCTAAAAAGAACAACCAAAACTAAGGGGGTTTGGATAAAGGGATCATTGATACAAAACAACCGACAAAACTTCCATGATGCATGAAGAACGGACGATCACCTGTTCTGACGATTGACAGTTGTGAAAAGTCAGTAGCCGTGGTCCGTGACCGTCACGATCAGAATTTTATTTTATACTTTGTAGTAGGTTATGTTTTATTTACTTATTTATTACGACGATTCTCGAAAAAGATCCTCGAACCAGTCTGATTAACAGGATATTTATGTAAAGACAGTGTATCTTTCGGTTTGAATCAACAATCTCTGTGTTCTGTGGCACGTGACTGTGTGTCACAAACAGCTGTAAGAACAAAACGGTCTATCAAATCCATTGGCGTGTTTAGTTTTACGAAAATAAAAGTTGAAATCTTTCTACGAAGCGTGTTTTATTTTCCCTAACAACGACGGCATAACCGGCAGGGGTTCGCTAACGCAGGCGCACACAAAATACGGCATCGCATCCTTTTACGGTCGCAAACAAAGTAACACGCAGTAAACACGATTTTTAAGCGAACCCGGTCGAGCGATTTCATTATTCGAAACGCCGTGACGTTCCGCTTCCTATTACCTCGCTGTTATTACGTTCCACATTAAAACAAAAAACACGCGATGTTATTGTACGGCTGCAAACTACAAACGTTTCAAGGTAAAAACGAATCTCGGACCGCGGTCGACTCGAAACCGCATTTGTCGCGGCCAATTTGCTTTTCATCGAAAATTTCCCATGACTCGCGACGTCACGCGTAGAAATATGGACCGGACAGCGCGCGCACGCGCAAGACAGATGGCATTGTTTACGACGGGGCGCAAATCTGTCGACGGACGGTGACAATGTTGCCAGTGCCTCGCATCGCTGCCGTTTTAGAACGAGTAAAACATACACACCAAGATTTTTAGGTTTAAAAACGTGTAGATGAATTAGAAACTCTGCTCGATTCGTTAGCAGAGCCAATAAACTTACAAGTGCGTCTTTTTTATGGTTGGTAATTTTATCACGTGACAACGTCGCAATGAACAGACGCTTACTCGATTGTGGGGCGGTGTGCCGTGTTTATAAACTAACCAAAATTCTTTTGGAGCAATAATATTAAAAAGACTGACAGTGAAAATGCCGGGACGATGCGAAATTTGCACTAAACTTGGCGGTTAGGGGTGCAGTGTGTCATTTCGCGCGTACATTTGTTATATCGTATAATAACTGTGCACCGTATTACGTATTGTTTGAGATTTTTCAAAAGTTGGGATTCGATTTTCAAATTAATCATATCAATCAATTAAATCTATCAAAATCAAGTTTTGTTGTCATGTCACAGAAATTATATAGAATATATATTAAAAGTGTGGTTTCATTTAGCTGCTAGTTTTGGTTAGAAATGTTTTTTTATTAATCAACAGAAATTACTTTATTTAAATTTACGATTTGTAATAAGACAGAAAATTTTAATCTGGCATGCGAATGATTGCCGTTGCTCCTCTCGCGAATTATTATTTCCCACCTGACGTGGTTACCATAGCAACCAACCAACATCAAGACCCCTCGTCGCACTCGTCGTTAGCCAAAATGCATACATTGTCATCACAAAAGTAGCAATTTATAAATGACTTGTGCGGTCTTTTTTAGAGGGACTTCTGTGGGGAATACCGATGATATTTAATCAGAGTGAAAAATTAATTATGTAAAAGTCCCGATATGCGGTTATGGGCACAGATAAAGATCTATTTATGTCCATTCTTGCTGTGGGCGAATGCCCTTGGTAAGTGTGCCTAATAAAAAGAAGAAGATATGTAACTGGAACTATCCTTAGCATTCTGTGATTATTTTTTATTAATTTATAAAAAACTTGAGGAAATAAATGTGACAATGTGTTTATACTACTTTTATTCTAGCTTTTCAGGAAAATAGCGATATAAATTGTTAATATTAAACATCCTATGTTTCACAATTTGGTTTTTATTGGTGTTACGCTCTACAAGTATTAAAAATTAATTAAACGTAAGTAAATACTGCACATGCAAGGTTTTTAATTACTTCTGTTACAATCATATACTTTTTTTTCTTCGCCTTGTGGGTATGTTCTTCCTGTTTCCATATTATCAAATAATTGACTAGTCTCTTTATTTAACAACTAAGTCAAATAATAATTTTTAAGAAAGCTATACCGTGTGACAAAAATCTAATTGATTATTTCTATTTCGTTTTAAAAGTACACTGCCTTCTGATTGGCTCGGTACTGTTAGAAAATGTACGTAGACTTGTGTAACCGTACGAAATTGAGAAAGGAAACTGAAAAAATGTTGGATGATGCTCGACATACTGACGAAGAAAACTAATTAGCCGCTTGTGCTTAATTATAATTCGTAAAACTGGGTAGAACACCGTACGTAGGTGCGAAACCGTTTCCATTTTCGGCTGTTTCGCTCAATATTACAGGCGAAAACAAACCCGTATGCCATATGCTAGACAAGCGTCGAAAAAAAAGATAATAACGCACGACGCGTTTTAAGAGACGTAAAAAGGCACTTAAACCCGCTATTAATTTTACAAAACATCACGAAACTACAATGGCGGGGCATTAATGCAAAGTTCTCATTCGGATCCGTGAGAATTTACGGCGGAAGCGGTACCCTGCCGTAATTAAAATCTTCGAAGCGGTCGCTAATCAGTTGCAACCGTACGGGAATACTTTTTACAAATTTACGTGAAAAGTAATACGCCTCCAAATAAATTTTCGGTTCCAAAACCGCATTTTCAATCAATAGAATCCTCAATTACGCGGTATTATGGTAAAACCATTGTTCAAATCGGTCGACGCTGGGTGAAACTCCGTAATAAAAAACCAGATTCCAGTAATTACTTCCGCTCAAATCCGCGCTCAATGCTCAGCGCCACCTACCCGAGTAAATTTAAACTTTAAGCGGAATTAAACGTAGATTTCTTCCACGTTGGCGCTGATGTCGCGATTTAAAATCTTCATGTTCCTAGTAATATACTTTACCTGTGGCCGAATGATCCTTCAGAACTTGGCTAATATGAGTAAAAAAAAAGTATATCAGCCGGCGTTTTAATTTGAAATCCTGGCAAGAATGTTTTACCACGTACGAACATCCGGCGTATTATTCGAATGAGGTTGCTCACCTTTGTAAACTTGCAGATATCGTTGGAACACGAAATTTTACTTCACCCCCAATATTTCGGACCGCAGCTCCTCGAGAAGGTGAAAACCAAGTTGTACACGGAAGTCGAGGGAACGTGTACCGGCAAGTATGTAGAGAATTTTTACCGGTGGTCGGTTCGCAGAAACGTCACTTAAATATTTGCAGGTACGGCTTTGTTATAGCGGTAACCACGATCGATAGTATTGGAGCCGGTTTGATTCTTCCCGGCCAGGGCTTTGTCGTATACCCTGTAAAGTACAAGGCGATCGTTTTTCGGCCATTCAAGGGCGAAGTGTTGGACGCGGTAGTCCGTCAAGTGAACAAGGTAGAATTTATCTTTTTATTCAGCAAGTAAGCTATGTGTCTGTTTTTTTTTAGGTTGGAATGTTCGCTGAAATCGGACCTCTATCCTGTTTCATTTCCCACCACGTAAGTGTGTTTTAATCTAGTGAAAGGGCAAGCTTTTACTTAAACAATTTCCAGTCTATACCCGCAGAAATGGAGTTCTGCCCCAATGTTAACCCTCAGTGTTACAAAACCAAAGATGAAGATGTTGTAATAGCGGCCGAGGCTGAGATAAGACTGAAAATCGTGGGGACGAGAGTTGACGCCAGCGGCATCGTAAGCTTTCTCGACACAGAGCAATCAAGTTGATATTTTTCCTTTGTTTCTTTGCAGTTCGCCATTGGAACCCTAATGGACGACTACTTAGGATTAATCAGTAATTAAGTATATATGTCTTGGTTTATATTTTAATAAAAATTGTAATAAAAGTTCGATATTGTTGTTTAATTTCTAGGGAAGGAGAAATAAACACAAACATTGTTTTACATTTTATTAAACAATATTAACATAGAGGAAAACGATCTCGATTTACAACTGGACAAATACTAAAAACAGCAAGAAACATACCGAGTTTATTTTGTTCTCCAAATATGTGTGTATCAAAACACATTCCAAAAATTTGTTATTGCTGTTTTAATCATTAGTTTTGGAGTTATCTTCTTCTTCCGTTGTGTTGGCCAAATTTGCTTGCATCATCTGACCATAGTACTTAAGGTTAAAAATTTTAAAATATTTTTTTGCGATTACGGCTTTTTCGATGCACGATTTGAGGCTGTTTAAAAACACCTCGACAGCAAAGTTAAATCGAAGCATTTCTTGTGATTTTTTCCGAAACGAAATTTGCTCAACATTGTGCAAACAATTTCTCAGTTTGCGGAATACTCAACGTATGGAGGAAACCATTTTAAAAGACAGTATGTAAATACTATGTGGTTTAATTTCGATGGAAGGGGAAATGAAACACAATCATCGATTGTTTTACATTTTATTAAGCAATATTATGATAAAGGAAAACGAATTTGATTACAACTAGGCAAATATTAAAAACAGCACGAAACGACACGGAAAAACGCGGAATTCAAACAGCCGTAGTATTACGTACCTATTACTTTCCGGTTTCTCGAATATACAGGGTGTATCAAAACACATGCGACAAAAGTATGATTGGGACATTTTTTAAAAAAGTTACTGGTGCTTTGACCATTGGTGTTTATCTTCTTCTTTTTTTCTTACATTGGATAGGTGAGCAAAGACTAATCGCCCAAACTTTTGTTGCGTAAAAATATCAATTAGAATGTGTTTTGAGCCACCCCGCAGAAAAAATCGCGAAAGCGTGAGACGGGGATCATTCGAAAGCAGTTTTCTTGGTTTGAAAAAGGGGCCCTCGAAACACTCCCCGTTTAACAATTATTTTTAACACACACTCACACTTAAAGGCAGCTGCAGCGTTTTAATTTTGATCAACGTTAAAGTAGAATTTTTACAAAAATAACACACACTTAGGATTAATATCTCATGTGGTGCAGACATTTTTTGAATTTATTAAAAAACCTCCGCTGAACGGGATGGTCCAATTTAAGATGGAGAAACTATGGCAGCGTATTCGGCAGATGAAAGATTTTCAATAAAAAGATTTCTCAACTACGTTGCATTAAGGCAAGTGCTGCTGTCACGATTCCAGAACGAATCTTAGGTAATGGTCGAATGATCCTGGTTATAATGGCCACTGGGAGGAAAATACAAGCTCTTTTCAATGGCCGAATGATCGCCGCGTTGAGGCCAAGATCAGTAAATTAACAAAAATATCCTTCGCCTTAATTGCAAAAAAAGTTCTTACATTACGTCCCTAAACACTTCCGTTATGGATATACAGGGAGTCTCCGTATTCTTAAAAAAGCTCTTCAAGAGTTTGCCTTCAAGTTGAGTGGTCACTTGAAAACACATTTATAGCAGATTTTTTTGCTAGGTGCACTTAATTGGATTATTACTTTTTTTATTATCCAAAATAAGCTTACCTAGGATATAAAATTGCATGAAAAAAAAAAAGGAAAAATGATTTTTCCTTCTCTGCATCTTTCAAAACCAAGATATAAGTTTATATGAACTTTTTTTGCGTATTTCTACCTGCCGAATAAGGCGCCAAAGTTTCACCACTATAATTCGTGCCACCCTGTATATGATAAATTTTTCTTGAGCGAATCACGGCAAGCGTTATGCTGCTCCGAAAGCGGCCCGCACAAAGACACACCGACCACCCCTCTAGCTAATAATACTATATAATGGAGTATAACCTATCTAAAGTTATCACCGTTATCGGACGCGGATATAATGCACCCAACGAATTACAAAATACGTTCCCTCGCAATTTCCCAAAATATACCTAGCTAAGAAGTGCCCAACTAATTTCAAAATAATAATATATGGTGGTCATTTTTACACAAGCGAATTCACACCGAGCTGGTCCACCAACATGTTTTAACGTCATACGGAAATCGACAAAAGTGGTTGGGATGGACGCGGAAATCAACAAACCAAAACGGATCCAAAATAAACGTTTAGTGAGTAAATTCAAATTAAAAATATTACAAACGGCAGAGAAAATAAAATAAATAGTTAAAACGGAAAAATCACATCTCTCGCGGTCCAAAAAGAAGCGGGTACCAACAACTCGACTACTGATAAATCCCCCGCGCGTTGTAGACATCCGGGGGACGGGGGGGGGGGGGCGAAAGCGGATAAATACATACAACTTTTTAGCTTAGCCGTACGACGGGTACTCCTCTTCCTGGGCCGCCATTTTAGCTTTGTTCAGGCGTACCGTTTCGGCGTGCTTCTCCTGCATCAAAATAGCAACGGGTCAACGCCGTAAACTCGAAAACATCAAAATCGTCGACATTTGCGCAGTATGCGTTTTGGTTAGAAAGAAGTTTTGAAACACCAAGTTATTTTGCTGATTGTGGGCCGTTACAAGTTAAGAAGAATGAAAATATGACTAAATTTTAAGGGGATAAGAGTCGAATACAAAAACCGGAAACGGGAAAACAGTTTTCCAGGTCGCGTTTCACGAGTTCAAATTATATTTCGAAGTCCGGGAGGATTTTAGAAGCGCTGGAACGCGTAAAAACCCCCACCTGCTGCTTTTGAGCCCTGTATCAATAATTCTTGATAGGTTTTATACTGGAGATATATATCGGATCAGATAATGTGCGTTTTCCATTTGCATGCTGTAAATGCACTGCAAGGCAGAAATAAAAGTGTGAGAAACAAATTGAGAAGGACAGAAGGACCTCGCAATGAATGGAAATTGTTGACGTTACGCCAATCATCGAGATTCGTAAATGGTAAAACTCTCAAACACTGGAGTGTGAAGTAAATTCAGAACATTAAAATAAGTCCTTCTTGTCATACGTCTAACAGGCAGAATCACCCTGTATAATACAATGAAATATGTTTTGAAAAAGCGTCAAAGAGCAAAGGAAAGGCGAAAAGTTCTAACAATTTCAAGTGGCCATCCTTCCCAAATATTTTACGTTTTATAATTTTTAATAAGGAACCAAATATTTTTGAGTTTTGCAAAGTTTAAAAAAAATCGCATTCTCGAACGAGAAGATACAGAAGATTTGGCTGGACAAACGTTTATTCTTGACGTTTTTTAAAAATGTACAGGGTGCAAAAACTGAAAAATCGGTTCCTTTTTCAATGAAAATCGACTACAACTAGAAGTTGTACAGGATGTTGAAGATAATTAAATTTGTTTCCGACGACTTCAGATTGGCCAGTGAAACAAAACTGGGAGTAATCAAAACTCCAAGTATTTATTAAAAAATTTTGAAAATTTTCTTTGGGTTATTTTTGCGAAAGATCCATTACTATAACTTTTATTTCGACCATATACAGGGGTTTTCAATTATAGATAAGACCCTTCAAAAATTATTCTTTTCCAGTGTAAAATACTTGCCGAAAATCCAAATTCGTAAAAAATATGGCGAAATGGTAGTGCACCGTTTCAGAAAAAAATTTTTTTTTCTCGCAAACCATTTGCTCTATCGGATCAGAAAACGTGGAAGGTCCAGGACTGCAAGCCCCACTTGAAATATTTTTTAAATAATATACAGGGTGTGTGACTAATTTATTGCTCGTAAAAGAAAAACAGCAAAACGGATAATATGGTTTAGACAGGATTGTAAACTGTGTCCAGAGTTACAATTTTCTATTTCCATCATCATGAAACGAGTATGTTACGAAGGGGTCCAAGAGAAAAATAGCTTTTTAAAAATGGCCGAAAAAAAAACTGACCGTTTCTTAAAAATGTAAAAATAAAAAAAAAATCACAAAATTAAAAAATAAATTAAACCGTATAAAATGCAGGATGTTTTCTAATTGAATGACGATAATTAAGGTGCGAGTTTTGGGTTCATTTCAAACTTGTAACTTCTCAACTTTTGATATACAGGGTGGTCAAGTTTTCAAAAATAAAACATTGTATTTTAATATCAAGTATCAAGAGGCATTATTTATTGTACCACACTTTTAAAAAAATACACCAGTGGCGGGGATACGGAATTTCGGCAGACATTGATGGAACGCCACAGATTTCTCTTGAAACAAAAATTATTCTTATAAACTCCACTCATTTCTAAAAAAAAAAAATAATTTCTTGATTTTTTTCAATCAAATGTAGGGTGTTCGCTTAAAAAAAATAAAAACCTCTTCTCCGCACGGCCGCAGCATACAGAGAATTACCATTATTATTTCATTAAAACACTTAATAAATAAAAAAAAAAAATAAATGCGAATCGTTTATTATTTATCTTGTTAAAACTGTAAAAGTAAAAAGGACAATCTTCTAATATTTTTTGACAAAAAAGTTCTTGTTTAACCAGTGCACCGGCGACCAAATTAACCAAAATATTATTTGCTCATAGGCGGTGAGTGGTTTCCTTAAAAAAAAAAAAAAACAACGACATTTGCGTTCATTTATGAGCACATTCGGTCTCTTAATTTTTTGGTAACTCCCTCGCGCGGGTTTCACTTAAAAATAAAAACTGATTAATATCTAACGTCTAAATATTATATTTTTGAATATTTTACCATCCTGTATATGTATTCATATGAAGTTTTCTTTTTCAAATGGACCCCCTTATTATTTACATTCAACGAGAAGACACCCTGTATATTCGTTAATTTTGAACACTCTATACCATCTAATTCAAATCTCTAGGCCGAGGACCCCTGCTCCGAGGCAATACATTTAACAGCAATTTTTATCTGATCAAATACGCGCAGAAACGGCCGGACCTACGGGGCTTTAGGGCGACTTTAAATCGGTGACACCCGGCCTCGACCACAGACCACAGAATCCAATAATTTACCATTTCTCGTTTGATTCGCTTGGTTGTGGTTGGTCCGTTGTTAGCGCGTGACGTTATCGGTGTCGGAGACAGAATCTCAGATACCGGCGACGAAAAACAAAAAAAAAAAGTATACGCACGTGTTTTTTGATGTTCTCCAGTTTCTTCTGGATCTCCTGTTCGCGTTTCTGTTCCGCCGCGGTCAGCTTGGTCTCGATTTTCGACACCGTCTCAGTCTTACGATTCTCTAGTTTTTGCTTTACCTCGACCAGCTGCTCGTTCTGGATAGGAGATGAAAACGTGCCCGTGATGAGTGATTATGGAGGAAAAAGTGATTAAAAGTTTCGAAATGAATTTTTCGAAAAAAAAAAAAAAAACCATTACGTGTTTCTTGACGTTTTCGATTTTCCGTTGCATCTCTTTCTCGCGCAGCTGTTCCGCAACGCACAACTTGTTCTCGATCAGGTTGGTCACTTCGGTTCTGCGTCCCTCGATCGTCGACTCGACCGACTTTTGCACCTCCAGCGGTTTCGTATTCTGATGGAACGCAACAAAAAAAAAGAAAAAAAAACGGGAAATGAGAAGCGTGAGAGAAACTGGAAAGGGTGATGGATGCGATGAACCCGTCTACAGACCTCTCAATCGTGAGATGGCGCCACATCCACTTTTTCGAAAAATAAATTTTTACAGGTCTGCGACAACGAGGACGACTCACCTTAGGCGCGATGACGCGACGACGCAGGCTTAAATAACTCGATATATACGGAGTGGCTCATTTTCATCCGCGAAATTTGACCATCGCAAAAAAGAACTTTTTTTTTATTTCGATATTCGAAACGAAACACGGCGTATACTTCGAGCAGCGGCAAAGACTACCTACACGGGGTGTTATTAAAATGACGTCATCTATTTTAATAAGAAAATTTAGCCTCCCCATCATAATGTCGAATCGAATAAGGAGAATACCGTTTTTTCGTAACCTTGCCCTGCCAATGTTGCTAAATTATCAGAAAATGTTTGCAAAAAATATATCTGGTATTTAAATTTTGAATGCCATATAATTATAAACATTCTTTCTCTATATCCGATATTTCAATTCGCATTGTCTTTTACTAGAGACTCACGTCAACTTATTTTCAGAAGTTCTGACTTGTTTTGCAAAAATTCTAACTTGTTTTCAAAAAATTCTTGCTATTCAGGAATTCTGACTTATTTATCAAAAATTATAACTAGTTTTTAAGAAATTCTTACTTGTTTGTCAGAAATTCTACCTCATTTTTCAAAAATTCTGACAATTCGATTCGAAATCAGAAATTCGCCAGTTAGAAATTTTGACTTGCTTTATAGAAGTTCTATCGCAATTCTGAAATTGATTTGTTTTTAATAATTTCTTGTTTTTTAGAAATTCTGCCTTACTTTTTAGAAATTCTACCTTAACTTATAAGTTCTGAAATGATGATTTATTTTCCAGAAATTATAACTTATTTTTCAAAAATTCTGAATTATTTTTTCAGAAATTCTGACAATTTGATTCCCATTGTCGTTTGCGAGAGACTTGTGCCAGAAATTCTGTTTTCTTAACTTATGAATTCAAAAATTATGACATTTCTCGGGAAATATAATTTGTTTTTCTGACCTATTTTTTAACAATCCGAAAATTCTGACTTGTTTTTCAGAAATTCTGACTATGAAATTACGGTCCGCCTCATAAATTCTGCCTTATTATTCATTAATTCTGATTTGCCTCCAAGTTATTCCTCAAAAATTTAACTTATTAAACTAAAACCGATTTCAATAAATTTTTTACTTGTTTTTCATAAATTCTGACTTAACTTACAAATTCCGACTATACTCAGAAATTCTGCCTTATTGTTCAAAAATTCTGACAAGTTCTGACTTGCTTTCAAGAAACGAGTTATTTTTTAGAAATTCTGCATAATTTTTCAAAAATAATAATGCTGTTCTCACTGCTTTTTAGAAGAGACTTGTATCAGAAATCCTGAATTGTTTTTAGAAACTTATTTTTTGGAAATTAACTTATAAATTCAAAAATTATGACTGACCTTTCAAAAATTCTGCCTTATTTTTCGGAAATTGTGACATTCCGATTCCCATTGTTCTTTGTGAGATACTTGTGTAAAAAATTCTGACTTGTTTTCAAAAATTCTATGTTTACTTATAAATTCAAAAATTATTGCTGTTTTTAAAAAATTCTGACTTCTTTTCAGAAATTCTGTCTCATTGTATAAAAATTTTAAGTTAATAAATTCTGATTTGCTTCCAAGACATTTTAAGTCATTCGTCAAAAATTTACTTCATTAAAGTAAAACCCTATGTTTCAATACATTTTTTACATGTTTCTCATAAATTCTGAACCTAACTTACAAATTCCAACTACACTCAGAAATTCTGAAATATTTTTCAGAAATTCTACTTCAGCTTACAAATTCTGAAACGATGACTTATTTTTCAGAAATTGTGACTTGTTTTTCTGACCTATTTTTCAACAATTCTGAATTCTTTTCAGCAAATTCTGACTTCAAAATTTTAAAACTAGAACCAATAATTTTTTTCTTGTTTTTCATAAACTCTTACTAGCTTAGAAATTTCGACTATACTCAGAAATTCGGCCTTATTTTTCAGAAAATTACACCTTAACTTACAAATTCTGAAATGACGACTTGTTTTTCACAAATTTTGACTTAGACTCTTCTTAAAATTCAACCCTATTGTTTAAAAGTTCATAAATTCTGACTTGTTTTCAAGAAACACTGTGTTATTCCTCAAAATTCTATGTAGGTTTTATTTTTGTGGTTGCCTTTCAGCTGAGAAAAATGATACGAAACTGTCCAGCAATAGATAATATACGACGTCATTTCAGAAACCCCCCAGCACATAGAGGGAACGGCACCAAGCGTCGAAAAAAAATTTTGGCGAAGCGAAAGGACGAACTACTCACTTTCTTCTTGAGCCGTTCGAGCTGGTCCTGCTCGAGTTGCTCCTTACGCGTCCTCGCCTGCTCGAGCTTATCCTGAATGGCGGCGTCGAGCTGTCCCAACTTCCGATTATTCGAGTCGCGCACTTTGCGCACCTGATCCTCCTTCAACGAAGCAAAATGACGCACATGCAGAGCTCAAATAAACGTACGACAGCGAAGGCAAACTAAAACGGATGCCGCGATGATTCGGAGGTACTTACGTGCTCCTTAAGACGCTCGAGCATCTTCTTGATGTTGCCGTCGCGTTGAATCGACGCCGTCTTCAGTTTGTCCTCGATAGCGACCCGCACCTCGTCCGTTTGCTGTTCCAGCGACAGCCTCGTTTTTTCCACGTTCTCGATATGGTCCTTCGGGAAAAAAAATACCACATTTCGTTATAAGCAACATCAGAACTAAAACAACACTTTAAGCAAGAGTACGACAGTTACTAACCCAAAGAACCAAACATACATGAAGCTCGTTAAAAAAGCTAAAAGACCAAATGCATGAGAACATTTAAAGACCCGATAAGATGTAAGCAAACGATGAGAGCTGCCTAATGAGGGAACAAATATGTAAACACTGAGACCAAAGAATCTAAGGAAAAACACTATACGAGTGAGACTATAGAGAACAAAGTGGAATCCAAGATGGGACAAAATGGGTTAGAATACGAAAATTCTGGAACAAGCACGTAGAGGCGAGGCTTTACTAACGACAGCCTGCAATATACAGAGAGAGAGAGAGACAGATAGAGGGGGAGGAGAGGGAGAGAGAGGCAGAGCGCTATTATTTTCAGCTGTTAAGAATTTCTTTTTCCCTTATTTATCGACATAACTGCAAAAGAAAATAAATACAGTCGAAGTTCGACGTTTTTTTCGTTACCTTTAGTTTCGTCTTCAAGTCAGTGATGTACGCTTCCCTCTTCTCGGTGACGATGCCCATTTTCTGCTCGAGGGCGTCGCGGGTGGCGCTGATAAACTGACTCGTCTGCTCGTCCTTCTTGCGGCTCGCCTCCTCGATCTTTTGCATTTTCGCCGACAGCGCCGCCATTTTGCTAGTCTCCAATTGCTGGAAAACGTGGTCGCCGTCGGTTACGCCCAGAGATCAAGCAATCAAAAACAAAATAGATGAGAGAGAGACGGACCTGTCTGCGTTCTTCCGCCGCTCTCAGCTTGTCTTCGATATCGCGCGCCGAGACGCCGCCGCCGCTTTTCGGCGTCAGCTGCTGCTCGATCTTTTTCGGGGGCGCCGCCTTGACCTCGGGCTCGCTGAGGATGACCTCGTAGCGAACCCCGCCTCGCGTCTTCTCCTGGCATCGAACCTCGGTCGCTGAGGAAAAGGAGAGTTAATTATGGCGGCACACGACGCCCAACGACGGACATATAAACCGCAGGACGCGAAGAGAAACCGTCGTTACACACCGAGGTTATTCCGTAAGCATTTCTCTAGACTTCTCGGCTATCAGTTCGTAGAGCAAAAATCTTCAAACTTACGTACACTTTTTTTTCAATCTTTCTAAACTGACCCTGCAGGTGGGTGTCAAAATATAAATAAATCGCCCCCATACAGTTAAATTAACTTTAAGTTAGGATTTAATAACAATTTTTGCTCTAAGCACAATTGAAGGACGAGAGTCAATAATTTTTCTGTTTTTTTCCTTACAACTACGATTTAGTTTTTTCTCGTTTTCTCGGGGGATTTCCGCAGTGGCGGACCAACACTCACCGTTGCAACTCCCGCGCAGCACCACGCACTTTTCGGGTCCTGTTTTTTCGGGTAGGATTACTGGTCCACCCACAAAAACACCAAATTACTCGGATTTTTATTAACGCGCGACGCGGCAAAGTCGCCGAAACGTTTTACGCCATTTTGACAGAACGAGCAAGCAATTTCAGCAACAACTTAAAAAAAAAAACGTGCACAAACTGCTGTAACAAGCCCGCAACGTAGACGCTAGGCCGACAAAAGCAACCTAAAAGATTGAGAAAAGGATGGGTGTCATAGTTCAAGCTAACACGAAATGTTACGAGGGTCGTTCTATAAGTTGTTAGAAACAGGAAAGCAGGATGAAACGTTACTGTCGATCTTCGAGAGAAAGATACTGGGAAAAATTTACGGGACTGTCCAAGAGAATAACATCTGGAGATGTAGATATAACTCTGCACATCACGAAACAAACACATAATAACAACAATAAAAATTTCTAGGCAAAAAGGAACTTTGAGGCCATACCAACAGGCAGAGGAATAACAGGGCTAAGATGGAGAAACATAGGGTTTGAAGATGGCGATTGTCGATGGTCCCTAGAGTGCCAAAACTGCCCTCTAGAATTAAGAAAATTATTATTCTCAACATATCCAAAGCTTTTCGCTACCAAAACTCAACATTGGAAGTTTTAAAAATAGTTAAAAAGTATTCTAACAATCTTGCACTAATCTACCTACATTGCTTAATTGAGTGGATAGGAAATAAAACGAAAGTAAGAGAGATATTTAGAGAGGATGTGGTAACAACATCGTACGAAAAGTTGACAGATAGAACAAAAGTGTAAAAAACCTTGGGAAAATAAAAGAAATAGAGAAGAATCTCAAATGACATGGGCGACTGATCCAAAAAACAGACTTGGCGCTAAATTTATTCGTCATCGTTTGACGATCAAAATTTTTCACATCATGGTAGAATTGGTTCCTAGTCATTCGATGGATAAAGGTTTACGTCTAACATACGTACGTATAGATTGTATAGATTGAAGGCGATGTTCAATTTTTTTTTTAATTACAAAAAATAGAGACTTATTCAACGACCCTCGTAAAACAGCATTCAGCGGTTGGTCTCATCCTTTTTGGCCTTCCCTTGTACATACCGCTACAAACGGAACATTCGTGCGATCAACTGCGAGTGATGCGATACAAACTAAGTGTTCCATAACGGCGCAATACTTACTGAGGAACTGAACCCTTTTCGGCTGGTTGGTTCTGGGTTTCGTTTTCACTTTCGTGATCGGTACGTTCCTTCTGTGCACTGCGGAATATATTACGTAAACGCCGTGGCAGCGCATTTTTTTTTATGCCCGTCCAAATTCCAATTTATCCAATTTACATTGCGGACGCGGGGGGGGGGGGGGGGAGAATTAGGGGGAATTAGACAGCTTATTTAAGAAATCGAACGAAGCCTTACGCGACAAAAATTTTATTGTAAAAGTTACGCTCCAATTGCCAACTTCGGACCCGTGATTTTTATCATTTACTTAAACGAACTCCGATCTATTCTTGTAAAGGATCACACAAGAAGCAAGAGTAGAAAACTCAAAAACTTCGATCCTCGGTAGGAAAAACAACAAGATAAGTCATGATTCTTTACATCTAACACCTTGCTTTTAATATGCCCGTTAACTTGGCGTTAAAGTTAAAGGTGAGCCATCCAAATAAGCGCACGTGACGTGATTATTCTTCATATGTAACCATCATTACCTATAAGCACACCCTATAAGCATCCGGGCCCCACATCGGGGGCGGCACCCCCTAGAAGGATCGTGCCCCCCGCGCGGGGCGATTTTAAGTTTTTGGGGTTATGTTGTTGCAGGACCCCCTTGTTTATCTACTACCAAGGACGTAACGTTATTCAACTTGTCCGAGAAGAAGGGTCACTATACCTACTGCGGTTTTCACGAATTTTTTTTATAATATACTAACTACATCGAAATTTATACTGTTCAAGAATAAGATTACAAAGCAGAACCCAAACAACAAAAAGAAATGATAGTCCAAAAAGGAATATAACTCGAAGCTTTAAGGTAATCGCGTTATTTAAAAATCGATAATTGTTATGTGATGTGCCTGTGATTTTTGTTATCTTAAAATACATTACTTTTTGGTGGAGTATTTCCAAGCAAAATGTTTTAGATACGAAGATAGGCACTAAAAGAAATGATAGTAACCACGAACTTAATAATTGCGTTTTAAATTTATTTGCGACACTATACATATTGATGCACGCGCACATTAATATTTCAAATTTACTATTTGTTATACGACTATGACAACTTTAATGTCGCATGCCAATGATTCTATAGTTACCATAGCAACCATTATATTTAGGAAATACGCTTGTCCCCTCAAACCCGCCGAAACTTGGCGCTCGTCAGTCAAATATTAACGAAGACACGACGTTCCGTGTTCGACAACGCGACGCCGGTGACGTCAGTCCGATAAGAGGCGCGCGTGAATCATCGGCGTCGTCGTCGTCGCGGCGCCGATCGTCGAGACGCGGCGGTCAGTCGAGTCGGCGTTCGTTCAACCCGCTTCTTATATAGGGTAAATTAAAAACAGGAAACACCTCCATTACAAGAAGTAAGGTTGCTGATGAAAAAAAGGCAAAAATTAATAACCACAAAAAGTAGAAGTAAAAAAAAATTATTAAGTTTTTTATTATTTTTTGTGGCATTTAACTATCAAATCGATTTATTTTTAATTAAATTTACCCAAATTTTATTATATATATATATATATATATATATATATATATATATATATATATATATATATATATATATATTCTCACGTATTGATTCACGGATGGAAAAATGTGATGACACTATATTCCGGGATATCATCCGTTCGCTCGTTGAACTCCGACTGGAATCCTGCATCCGACTGGAATCCTGCAAATCTTGCATCCGACTGGAATCCTGCAGACGTTTCGCCAAAATCTCACTTGGCATCTTCAATGCTCGCGCTCCGAAAACACTTCGAACACTGGGAGGTTATCGGCGGTGCGTGCGGTATTTATACTCTGCGCCGGAGATGGTAACGGTGCTGCTTGTGCGTGGGGGGAGGTGGCTCCGCCCCCTGAATTGTCGCGTTGTTAATTTCGCCCGATCGTAGTTGCGATGTCCCCGTTGGCTGCTGCGCATCGCTCTGCTGTTTGATTATCGTTCTCCACGTGTTGGATAAATGCAGAGCGTCGTCTCTCGTATTGAGGTGTCCGGACTTTTCTATTTCGATGGCCTCTCGTATAATCCTAGTCCTAAAATCAGGAATATTAGCTATTTGTTTGCAAGTGCCGAAATCAATTTTATGGCCTGTTTGATGTTGGTGCTGAAACAAAGCAGATGTTGTTTGTTTGTTTCTTATGGCTAAACGATGTTCCTCGAGCCTGGCTGAAATCCTTCTGTTGGTCTGTCCCACATACGTCAGGCTGCACGATCCACATGCTACACTGTATACTCCTTGGTTTTCCAGAGTAATTTTTTGTTTTGGGTTTCTTAGTATTGCTCCGATGGTATGATCAGGTTTGTATGCCGTTGATATGTCGTGTGTCCGTAATATTCGGCCGATTTTGTCAGTAACCCCCTTGATGTATGGCAGGACAGCGATCGATCTTCGTTGGGTCTCGTCCTGCACTCTCTGCTGCGGCTGTTGTTGTTTACTGATTGCCTTGCTGATGGTGCGCCTTTGGTATCCGTTTTGTTGAAGACAGGTACTAATTTTCTTCAGTTCTTTATCTCTGTTCCTCTCGTTTGTGAGCCTGAAGGACCGAGCAATTAATGTATTTGCCACTGCCTGTATCTGTGATGGATGGTGATGAGATTTAGCGTTCAGATATCTATTAGTGTGTGTTGGTTTTCTATAGACAGTGTGTTCCAAGTGTCCATCTTCGGTCCTTGTGATGTGCACATCTAAAAAGGGCAGACTGTTATCCTCTTCAAGTTCTATTGTAAATTGAATCCTTGGGTGAATGGAATTCAGATGATCTAGGAATTTCAAAAGCTCCTCCTTGCCAAAAGGCCATACAACAAATACGTCATCAACGTATCTTGTCCATAGTTTTGGCTTCAGATTTGCCTTCACTATTGCTTTCTTTTCGAAGTAAATCATGAAGAGGTTGGCAATCACAGGTGAGAGAGATGATCCCATTGCTGCTCCATCTATTTGTCTGTAAATTTTCCCGTTGTGCATAAAGTAAGCGTTTTTCAGGCAATGCCTTGACAGATCCATTATGTATGGCGGAAGATCTTCGTTTTCTTCTATAAGCAAGAGTGCCTCTTCTACTGGAATATTCGGGTAGAGGGATTTGACATCGAAACTTGCCATAATGTCGTCCTTGTCCATCCTGAGAGAACCTAAAATCTGAGTGAAATGTTCTGAGTTTTTAACATAGGAATCTGCCTTTTCCACTATAGGCTGAAGTGCACTGGCCAGATGTTTTTCCAGCTTGCATAATGGTGAGTTAAAGGCGCTTACGATTGGACGCAGGGGAACCCCGTCCTTATGGATCTTTGGCAGCCCGTAGAATTTTGGGCAACGACTCGATTTTTCCCTCGGAATAAGTTTCTTCTTTGTATCCTCGTTTATTGATGAATCGAGAATTTTGAACTTAGTTGTTTTTTCCAAATATGTCGTGGGATCTCTGGTGACTAGTTTGTATATTGGGTCGTTCAAAATATCCTCCAATTTTGCATTATAATCCGACGTGTTCATGACGACAGTGGCATTTCCTTTGTTCCTAATAATGCCAGCAGACAAAGGAAATGCCACTGTCGTCATGAACACGTCGGATTATAATGCAAAATTGGAGGATATTTTGAACGACCCAATATACAAACTAGTCACCAGAGATCCCACGACATATTTGGAAAAAACAACTAAGTTCAAAATTCTCGATTCATCAATAAACGAGGATACAAAGAAGAAACTTATTCCGAGGGAAAAATCGAGTCGTTGCCCAAAATTCTACGGGCTGCCAAAGATCCATAAGGACGGGGTTCCCCTGCGTCCAATCGTAAGCGCCTTTAACTCACCATTATGCAAGCTGGAAAAACATCTGGCCAGTGCACTTCAGCCTATAGTGGAAAAGGCAGATTCCTATGTTAAAAACTCAGAACATTTCACTCAGATTTTAGGTTCTCTCAGGATGGACAAGGACGACATTATGGCAAGTTTCGATGTCAAATCCCTCTACCCGAATATTCCAGTAGAAGAGGCACTCTTGCTTATAGAAGAAAAACGAAGATCTTCCGCCATACATAATGGATCTGTCAAGGCATTGCCTGAAAAACGCTTACTTTATGCACAACGGGAAAATTTACAGACAAATAGATGGAGCAGCAATGGGATCATCTCTCTCACCTGTGATTGCCAACCTCTTCATGATTTACTTCGAAAAGAAAGCAATAGTGAAGGCAAATCTGAAGCCAAAACTATGGACAAGATACGTTGATGACGTATTTGTTGTATGGCCTTTTGGCAAGGAGGAGCTTTTGAAATTCCTAGATCATCTGAATTCCATTCACCCAAGGATTCAATTTACAATAGAACTTGAAGAGGATAACAGTCTGCCCTTTTTAGATGTGCACATCACAAGGACCGAAGATGGACACTTGGAACACACTGTCTATAGAAAACCAACACACACTAATAGATATCTGAACGCTAAATCTCATCACCATCCATCACAGATACAGGCAGTGGCAAATACATTAATTGCTCGGTCCTTCAGGCTCACAAACGAGAGGAACAGAGATAAAGAACTGAAGAAAATTAGTACCTGTCTTCAACAAAACGGATACCAAAGGCGCACCATCAGCAAGGCAATCAGTAAACAACAACAGCCGCAGCAGAGAGTGCAGGACGAGACCCAACGAAGATCGATCGCTGTCCTGCCATACATCAAGGGGGTTACTGACAAAATCGGCCGAATATTACGGACACACGACATATCAACGGCATACAAACCTGATCATACCATCGGAGCAATACTAAGAAACCCAAAACAAAAAATTACTCTGGAAAACCAAGGAGTATACAGTGTAGCATGTGGATCGTGCAGCCTGACGTATGTGGGACAGACCAACAGAAGGATTTCAGCCAGGCTCGAGGAACATCGTTTAGCCATAAGAAACAAACAAACAACATCTGCTTTGTTTCAGCACCAACATCAAACAGGCCATAAAATTGATTTCGGCACTTGCAAACAAATAGCTAATATTCCTGATTTTAGGACTAGGATTATACGAGAGGCCATCGAAATAGAAAAGTCCGGACACCTCAATACGAGAGACGACGCTCTGCATTTATCCAACACGTGGAGAACGATAATCAAACAGCAGAGCGATGCGCAGCAGCCAACGGGGACATCGCAACTACGATCGGGCGAAATTAACAACGCGACAATTCAGGGGGCGGAGCCACCTCCCCCCACGCACAAGCAGCACCGTTACCATCTCCGGCGCAGAGTATAAATACCGCACGCACCGCCGATAACCTCCCAGTGTTCGAAGTGTTTTCGGAGCGCGAGCATTGAAGATGCCAAGTGAGATTTTGGCGAAACGTCTGCAGGATTCCAGTCGGATGCAAGATTTGCAGGATTCCAGTCGGATGCAGGATTCCAGTCGGAGTTCAACGAGCGAACGGATGATATCCCGGAATATAGTGTCATCATATATATATATATATATATATATATATATATATATATATATATATATATATATATATATATATATATATATATATATATATATATATATATATATATATATATATATATATATATATATATATATATATATATATATATATATATATATATAATATTTTAAAGTGTAACGGGCTACTGGTAACCTGTTGCAAATATTTTATAATTAATATAATTATAATTATTTATTAAAAAGTGTTACAGATTAGTAACGATTTTTATTTATTTTTAAGGCTAAATCTATAGAATTATCCAAAAAATAACACTTTCAATAAATGAATTTTTCTTGGACCGTCGCGTGTATATTTTCTCCAATTTCTCTTGGGTATTCGGTCTCTCGAAGACAATTAATGTGATTCTTCTAAATATTTATTAACGTTTCGATCGTAATTTCGATCTTGTTCAAAATATTCTTATTTTGTATAGGTGACATATATAACAATTAATGACATTTAACGTTGTGTTAATATATTAAAAATAAAAATAATTTGTCAGCGAATATTTTATACGGATTGGAATGGCATGCAAAACAGGTACGGATGTTTTTTATTTTTTATTACATTGGATAATTTAATTTTGTTAGTTTAAAATTGAACGATATATTTTGTTAAGGTTTTTAGAATCGGTTTTGAATTAATTGAATTTTCGTTTTTTTGGATTTCTATACTTTCATAAAGTTCTCTTTTTTTGGTGTTAGGTTCTGTTAGTAGGACTTTAACTTTTTGAAAATTAAATGTGTGTTTGGTGTTTTCGCAATGGGTATGAAGAACTGTTTTCATTGATTCTATTTTTTAAATATTGGTCTATATATACACTGTCGCCAATAGAGCATGGAATTTCATATACTATATTGCTTCTTTTTTCAACAGGAATTTTTGCTTTGAGTTTAGTGAAGCGATATGTCTTTTGTAAATTATAACTTTTGTGTCCTATTTGTATTTTATGTTCCTTGAAAATGGTTTGGAGTTTTTCTGATAATCCAGGTATATATGGTAGCGATATATATTTTCTTTGAGGATTTTGATGTTGATTTATATACATATAAATAATATCAACTGCATTAAATAAAAAAATTAATAAAAAATTCGCGGTATTTTTAAAATTATTTCGGACTGGTCCATTGACACAAAAAAATATCGATTTAAACTGTTTTTTTTTTAATATTTGCTCTAAAATAATTCGAGTTTCATTAGTTTTTCAGCTTCAGTTGCTATTTAGCATTTAATCGACGTTCGATCGGTAGTTTTAAAATTCGTTATTTTGTTAATTGAGTTAAATATTTACTAATACTTAAAAACAAAAGCAAAAAACTGAAGCTATTGTGATTTATGGTGAATCCAATCGCAATTTACATGAAACCGAATTTTTGACGAAAGATATCTGGAAAAAAGAAATAGAAATGTAATAAAACATTTGTAAGCATTCATTTGACTGTCTTGCAAAAACTGACAAATCAAATGTTACGTCTAAAATTTTAGTAATTAAAATTTCATTGAAGCTATGTTTTGTTCGGAGAAATGAAAAAAATTCTTATTTTTTCGAAAACTGGAGGTATGTATTATTTGAAGTAATTATAAAGTATTGGGGCATTTAAAATTTCAATGTTGGTGCTACTTTTTCGAAGAACCGGCAACATCGCAGCATTATGTTATTGCTATACCGTTCGCCGTAACCTTCTAAAGACCATTTCATAATACGACCAAAAATCATTTAACTAAGTGACTACAGGAGCGATAGTGACGATTTTTTAAGTGAATGGTACTTTATTATTACTATATTTATTATTTTGTATATTGATAATGATACCATAGAAGAAATTTAATGAAATAGAACGTAATAAATTGTTACCCTGCATTGGACTGAGGTGGCTTTTACTTGATGAAAATCCATTTAACACAAATTAAATTACAAAATCTAAACATTTTTTTGTTCTAATTTAATTTGTTTTACTCTGCACTAATTTTTTTATGTACATGTTTCAAGAATTGCTCGGCGAAAAAGATTGAAAACATATTTATATTCCTAGGACGGTCCTTGAATGGTTACGGGTAAGCGTTTGCTCGGCTGGGCGTTCTATAATGGGATGCGGTTTTGGAGTAATAAACAGTAGGCAAAGTTAATCGGGGGGTCGGTTGTGAAAGCACTATATTTTTGGTCGAAGTATACCTATTTAATACTACCCATTGTTATCGCTCGTTAAAAAATACATAAATTAATTAATAATTGACAATTGAAATTTGGCGGAACGTGAAAAACAATTTAGAACGTACAAAAATTTACGCGTAACATTAGATTTGACCGTCGCCCTTGTTAAATTTAAAACAAAATAAAAAAGAAAGGCTCGGCGCTCTAGCGAAAGTAGGCCGCGCCCGGTACGAAGATCTAGTAGGCGGCAAACGTCAACGAATGTCACTCTGTGTGAGCGTTTACGAATAGAAAGAAAACCGCAAGCGATCCAAATCACGCCTACCTTCTTCTTCAATCTCTAACGGTTCGTATATTTTTGTGGCCCATACACGAGCAGTTTTTACTGACCGATATTATTGACTACATTAACGATTTTACACCAACTTTTTACAAAATATACCTGATATATGTCAAGTCAATTTTTGTCGTTACGGCTGGTTTCGCCTATCTCTTTGATCTATTCGATTGAACGTGATAAATTGGAATTTGGAATTCGGCAGTACCATCTCCGCAGTCTGAAATACCGGGCGATTTTTCCCAAGCGGAAAAAGGGCAATAAAATTTTCTTTTTGTTTCGTTTTTAATTTTTTTTTTCGGTCAGCCGTAATCACCTTCAAAATTTAAAAATTATGCGAACCACTGTGCACTTTATTCGAAAAGGACGGAATGCTTTCACGTTTTCGAGCACATGGTTTTATAATTTAAAAAAAAAACAGGGCTGAATGTAGCGGAATATTTATTATTAGCTATTAGAGGGTTCAGTCTATTCCATATACTTATATGTAGATGAATTTGAACTGTCAAACTACTTAGTTACACTTCAAACCTTTTTTTAAGTGGGAAAGTGTATTGTCGGTTAATTTAATCAATACCAAATCAAATAAATTAAAAAAAAATATATGACTTGTAGTCTGCTGTTTGGCAAAATTGGTTAAGGCGGAATCAAAAATCAAAATGGCCATTCATTTGTTTATTATTTAAACATGCTAATGGAAGTGCTCAAAACTCAAAATTTTACAAATATGTTATGATTTCACAGACTTTACGGAATAATCATTCCAAATATAACCTTGTGAAATCCAATATTCTCAGATATTTGGACTTTATTCTTTAATTTATTATATACATATTGCCCCGTGTTTCTCCATATTGGCGAAAAAAAAATGACCTCCTGGATCGATTTTTTGTAATAAAATCAAAATCGATCGATTCGGAGATCTGCGGCACAACTCGGAATGACAAAATTTTGAAGGTGACGTCACGTAGAAGCGTTACCCACGGCCAACCTAATAAAATATTTTCAAGAACCGTCCACGCATTTTTCAATTGAAAATTGCCCGGTATCTCATATCGCAGGCGGCATCTTACCGGCTGCGGGCACCGGGGCCCGGCACGTGTGACAGAAGCACTGCAGCACCGACTCCCTAACAAGACCGATCAACATGTTTGCAGATTCGTTTTTCGCTTTTAACACACGATCAAAGCACACGCACCGAACTGTTATACGTTGTCGAAGGAATCACCCGCGATTTGTCATCGATTTCGGCGTCGCGACGGCCCGTCGAAGGCGGAATGGACGAGGGGCGAAACTTCAAAGCGCGCCGCCGCAGATTATTGATTTCCCCATGGCGCCGTCGCCCCAACCGACTCGTTGCGTCATACGTCTTTTTCATCAAGTCGGCCGTTTTCTAGATTTAATTCTCCGTTTCCGCTGTTTCTCTTCGCCATTTTCGATTGATCAGTAAAACAGTTTGACCATTTTACTAACAATCCTTTGTTCCCGTATTAAATTAATTTAACCGTCATTCGCGAGGATTGATTTTCTCACGGACAGGAGGCGCTCGCAAACCAACCAATCATATCGCTCCAACAAAAGGCTAACGACAGACCACAACAACGAACGTTCAACTATCGACGACGAGTGTGGTTATGTTGCGACAACGTAAACAGCAGATTGGAAAATATCCGCAAACGACTTAAAATGTGGGTAATCGCCATAGCGGGAGTACATTCCCGGATTATATCCGTCTGTTTTAGGATATCGATCGATCTCGATTCGGACGACGAGCCCGCGTTCGACATCAGCAATTTACCGGTGTAAGTTTGCATCTTCCTTTTCGCCCTAACTTGAAGCGTTGCTATCGTTAGCGATATCGTGCCGGTGCCGTCATCCAAACCGCCGAACGTGGGCGTATTTGACGCGGCGATTCGAAAACTCCAGGCGAAAAACAAAATAACGTGTTCATTAGCCATGACCGAAACCAAAATCCGGCAGCCCGAGGGCCGCCACTCGATGGATCTCGCGAGCACGGCGACTATCTTTTCGGTAGGTCCAGCCCCCCATTTGGGTACCAACAAACCCTTGCTATAATCCCTTTTAGGTTGTATCTCTCAAGGAGAACTGGTCGTTGCCGGTGGGCCTGTACTTTTTCGACAATCCCACGCTAAAAGACTACGCGGACGGCGTCGCCGAGTGTCTCGCCGCGCTGCGCGACGCCGACGTCGCCATCGTTTCGCTTAACACGAGCGGCGACGCCCCGTTCGCCGGCCTAAGCTTGGCGCAGCAGTTGGGGGCGCCAGTCGCTGTCACGGACGGTGACATCATAATCCTGTCACCGACGTTCCCGAACCCGAGGGACGCGAGTCCCGTTTTTATAGTTTGCGACCTCGAGAGGTCCGCCGCCGCCCTGGAAAGGCACTGGGAAACAAGCACCACATTCCTAGACAGGGCCGGCAACCAAATCGACTACTCTTTCATACTTAAAGTGTGGGAGCTGAACGAAAGCAACCTGCTCGACAATTTCGAATGGACCGTCATCAAAAAAAGGGTAAGTGCCGCGAACGCGACCGTTACGTCCGAGAGGGGCCGAAAGTGAGGTTAGATCTAGAAATAACGCGGACATTTGGTTTTAACGGCATACAGTGTGTCCACAGGAATAAGGATCAATTAATTAATATACAGGGTAGTTTTGAGCTGATTTGATAAAAGTGTTGGGGGTACCTTTATTGCAAAAGACACAGAAAAACGAAATGATGAAATGGATGATGTTGAAGTATTTTTTTCTAATGTAATTAGAGTGCGACGCCACTGGCATTAAGACTTTCATAATAATTGCTTAAAAGAAAAAAAGTCCTCAAGAGAAAACTTGGAAATCATTTTTGAGGTTTTGAAATGGCCACCAGAGGGCGTAGATACGATTTTAAATTTTAAAATCAGTTATTTCAAATATTGATCATACCTAGACTAAATACTGAGACAATTTCAAATCTTTTTTGTTAGATGCTCTTTACTCTATCTCTAACAACATTTCGGGAAATAAATTTCGATAACTTAATTATGCGATGATTGCGATTTATTACCTCGCCACCAGATGGTGCTTTGTGACAATGATATTTTATTTACGTCGTCAGATACTCAAACAAGAGCCCAACAAAATTCTGTGAAAACCGCAATAATCTTTACATGAACACAAAATTTTGGTTTGTTATTAAAATAAAGGTCAGTTGTTCATCTTAGTTTTTTTTACAATACCATGAAAATTGTTAGTGCATTGTGATTTCCTGATCTGTTTTTAAATATTGTTTGTTGTCACTTTATTTTTAAATAAAAAATTCAGGTTGTCATTCATTCATAGACTAAGTAAGTGTATTATTTATTTAGGTTTTAAGTAGTAAGTAGAAAACCATAAAATTAGGCTGGTGCTTTGATAGAAATGTTTTTTCACAACTGACAGTGATAGTTACAGATTTGGCATAACTATAAGAGCGCTAAACAAAACTTAAACTGCATGGTCATAACAATATCGCATTGAAATTAGTTTTTATTTTTAAGTAAAAAATCTGCTCATAAATGAATACAACTGACTCATAAATGACTGGCGGACGGTCTATGAACAAATATATTGGTTAATTAGGTGGTTAAATCGAGAACCATATATCTATATATATCTAGTTTTGGTTAGTGTCCTTCAGAGAAATAAAATATTAGAAGACTGATCTTTTTACTTTTACAGTTTTAATGAAATGACATAAAATCCTAACAACAAGATAAAAATAAATAAATCATCGGAGATTGTATGAATAATTATTATTTTAGAGGAAATCAGTGGCGTACCTTCAATGTCTACCCAAAAAAATAAATACGGGAAATTCCATACGCCCGCCACCGGTCTATTTTGAAAAAAGTGTGGTACACTAAATAATGTGTGGACATGTGTGTCAAATTTTATTAAAATGATATTACATATATTTAAATAAATATCCCAAAATAAGAATTATGTCCATTATTTTTTTAAAAAAGCAAAACTCAACCCTTTTTTCTGGATGCCTTGTATCCTGCTTTTTTGAGAGTAATACCTCTCCTTTATTGAACTTCAATTCTCAGAACATTAATTAAGGTTTTATTGTCATGTTTCAGTATATATAGTAGTATATATGTAATTTCGTGAAAATCTGAACTTTTAGTTCTTATTTATTTTTTTTTAATACATAACTTAAAAACTTAACATAAAAAGATGCATATATTTTCCATACAGCTTACTATTTTTTGTTTTTGATGTGTCGTAAATAGTATCACAGTGGTCTGTGAAAAAAAAAAAAAAAAAAAAAAAACTACCAGACACTTTTGCTTTTTAATATCAAAATGCAATTGATGTTTGCATGTTTTTGCGGTATTCCAGCTGTGCTACGAGGACGAAAACATCTCAAAAACGATGTACGCGGCGCTGACGTACCTCAAAGAGCTACCGCATCCCGATTTCCGGGGTTGCGACGCCACTTTGACGTTTATAAAAACGTTGGACCGGATCCGGGACATCGCGCGGTTCGAAACCGGCCGCGTGGACGTGAACGAATGGGGCCCCGTCGTGTCGGACCTCGTCGGGTACCTCGCGGGTCTGAAATCGGCGGACGGGGCCCCAAGGTTCCGCGCGCTCGCTTTCAACTTGATCGCGTCGCTCACGTCGCTGCGGGAGATTTACAGGGAACGCGAAGACCTGAGGGCGGCGACGCCGCGGCGGTTCTGCCTGAACCGCCCCCGCGAAACCTTGAAAAAGTTGCGGTAAGTGGAAACGACGGTGGAAGCGATTTTCGTTTGATTTTTCCCGCAGCGCGATGGAGGAAAACGGCCGCGGTTTGCCCACCGGATTCGAGGTTTACGCGGAGGTTACCAAGTTTATCGACGCTTTCGAATAAATGCTTTTTTGCAAAACGTGTTTTTCTTTTTTTAATAATCCCAATCACGAATCGTCGAAAAACTGCCGTTGCTCCTATTTGGAATCTTGGTTATTATTTACCAAAATGTGCATTTTTTTTTTAATTCCATTCACGAATTGTCCAAAAACTACCGTTGTTCTTACTCGACACGTTTAAGTTATCTCTTGATGTGGATAAAACGATCATCTTAACCATACCAATAGACTTGACTTTAACGCCATAGAAATGAATGGATTTCAAAAAATCATTTACGGTGGGACAATCATGTTTCACATTTTTACGAGACACTTATTGTGATTCAAAATAGTATTTTTGATGCGGTTTTTAAAAAACTAGAACATATTTAACGATAGAACGCTTTATACAATAGTGTGCGAAAGTAATCTTATTTATTATTTTCGAAGTATAATATACGGGGTGTTCCATTTGATTTTTTCACAAAAATTAATATTTTTCACTTTGACTAACCGTGTATAAACGATTCGAGCTAACTTCAAGACAAGTATAGGATAAATGACTTTACCATTTTATAAGACGCACCGGGTCAGTCGTTTATGTACAGGGTGCTCCATTTAAGACGCCCCTAAACCTTACCTCAATAAGTACGACACCGAGTGAAAAAGTTAAATATGAAAAGTATTTGAAAATCCGGAAGTCTAACGAATTTATTGCCAAATGTAATATAGTAATGGTAAAAATAAGTTTAATCAAAGATATTTAAACCATTTAGCCTCACAATTTTACAATTGCCTTCCCGTGCAATTAAGGACTATAAAAATAAAAATAGTTTTAAAAAGAAGTTGAAGACTATAAAACAGTTCCTTGTTTTTCTGTAGAAAAAAAAAGTTCCTTCGTAATTTTACGTAAATGCAGTAGATCTCTTTAAAAAATCTGGACAAAATTATATACTTTGTCTTTACTCTTTATGTGTGGATTACTTTAAGATAGCTTTCTCTTTTGGAATGTCAAACGCCTAACCTCAAATTTTACCCAACTTGTTTTGTTGCTTTCCGTATAGTGTATAAAACAGTAAAAACGTTTTTTTACTCTCTAGTTTTGAGCGGGTTTTTTTAAATGTAACCGAAGTAAAGTACTATTGTCAAAGGTGATACAACAAACGCCAATATTTGAAAATTTGATTTCATTTTTCACCCAGTCAGATGTATTTGTTTCTACGTTATTACGATCACGGGTAAATAACAATATTCTCTTCCTTTCATCTTAACAATAATAGCCATCAAATAAGACCGTAACCAACCAACGTTGCTAATGCCATTGCAAATTGGTTTTGGAACAAAAGAAGAATCCGACAAAGCGTATGGAACGTAACCTACCATAGTTAACGTACGTCTTCATCGAACTGCATTATAAATATAAAAATAAGGAAAAAGAATATCCATTTTACTGTAGCTCGACTTTCAGCCAACAAAACTGGATGGAGGGAAAATGAAAATTCGCTTTTTCAAAATATCACACCAGGCAGCTAAGAACTAATGTTCAGCAGCAAAAAGCAGGTATTGCAAGAGTATTTTAGTCAGAAGATACCTATACAAAAAAAAACTAATTGAAGTTGTAAGGACCAGAGACACCTTAAAACACAAGGCAGCGATCAAATTGATAGTACGGCCCTGTTAAAATTAAACAAGTTATCCAAAGTGATGGAAAGTACTTAGTACACTTTATCAAACTCAAGCGGTAACCAAAGTACAATTGGGCAGCTATTCCTTTCATCATCACATACACACATGCTGCATTAGCTTCAAAAATTCCTTTTCAAGCTGTTTTGGATGAAGTTAGAGATAGAATTTTAGATTTAGACAGCGCATTTTAACAAAAAAGATCTCTATAGCATACAACATTAGGGCATCAAAATGATGACTTTAGTTTATATTTTTTTTATATTTATTTATTATATATATATATATATTTTTTTATATTTATAAAGTGACGATTTTGTTTTAATCATCGCGAATAGTGGTCACTTAGCTACATTCAAAAAGTTTATCTGGTTAGTTACAATTTAAATAATCATTTCTTTTTTGGCAACTCACAATATATGAAAAAAGACTGACGCAGGTCTGTCCCGAGTCAGGCCCTAGACATAAGAGTTCCAAATATCAAAAAAGTACTCACGTTTTGGAGAAACGGGCATCTGTGCAACAGTCTCCGCCATCTTACACTTTCGAAATGTCTACTACGCTTTTCAAACGCCGATCCAGCTATACCAGCAAAAAGTACGCGATTTTTGCGCTACGTAAAAAAACCCTGGTACTTTAAAACGCGCCCGTCTCGAGAAATTCGGACAATCAAATCGCAAACTGTCAGTTTGGGACAAAGATTTTATAAACACTCGAAGAAAACCGTCGAGATTTGTCACGTGGGGAGTGCGGCGCTCCTATTGGTTGGCCCTCGCTTCCGTGCGTCGCGATTGGCCCGCTAGGACAAAGAACGTTAGGTTCCGAATTTTTTCTTGTTACCGATCGGGAGCAGAGATGCGTCCGTTGTGTTCGTTTTTGTTTACGTAGATTTTAATTAGATCGCGAGGTGACTAACTCTCGTCAATGTCTACTCCTCTAAATTCGTTGTCCTGCGTATATAATTCATTACGGGAACCATAACGGGCTTTTAAACGGACATGTTTATGAGACGTTTTGTTCTCGAGTCGACCGTTTTTAGGTGGGCGAAACCTGACTTTGCCATATCGGGTTTAAACTGGAATTGCGCCTACCATTTCTTTGACCTCGTCGGGCGTGTTTCGGAATATTCAAGGGACTCCATATGCTTATTTTGCAAAATATTGTGTTTTCGCTTGGATATTATCATTTGAATAACAGGCGATTCATTATCACATATCGGAAAATTTATCCAGTATCTACTTTCGCCACTTTTATTGTCGGTAAGAGATACGACCATTAATCATGAAATAATCTTTGATGACACTAAAGAAAGGCTCGTTTTCTTTAAGCTTTGTTAACCCATAAAGTCCGACCCAAGATAAGGCCCCTGCTACCAACGTTAAAACGTACGTAGCATTGCCAATAGTAATACGCTAAACTTCGAACATAGCAAATATTTTGGGTTACAAATTAAAAGCAACAGATTTGCTTTTATTTCTTTGTTACTTATCATTGACTAATCCGTCACTACTCATAATTCAGGAATATATAAGGAGCCTAACAATGTTTGTAAATAAAAAGTCTGTCTGGGACTTCGTTAGAGGGGCTTGGGGCATCATTTTTGATTCGATTGTGATTCCCGCAATGTGCTCTTTAGCAAATGCAATATTTTGGTTCTTAATTTCATTTACAAAATATTGGCCGAATGGTCTTAGCAAAATAAAGAAAACCTTGCACGCTTGTTACTGACAATTGTAGCAGAGTTCTGTGCATCGCGTGCGTGATATAATTTTCATCTGTGGTGAACTATTTGTTTATGATTATGGCTTGAAACGATCGTAAATATCTTTTTATAAGCGACTAAAATGATGGCGCTTGATTTTTCAAAAATCTGCCGGGTTTGCCTAGGCGAAGGGGTCATGATGTCGTTGTTCAAAGTTAATGTTTCGAAAAAATTAATGTCTTGCGCCTCGATACAGGTTTGTTTGGAAATTACGTTACAATTCGTGTAGGTGTAGCTTCGTATTGTGCTAGGTCTGGCAGAACGATAGACTGCCGTCCCAGATATGCAACAGGTGCAGCGCAAAGCTGCACATCGCGTTCCAGTTCAAAAAGCAGTGCCAAAAGTCGGACGCCACTCTGAGGCAGTATCTGGTCAATTCGGAAGCGCAAGGTAACAAAGTGCCCGAAGGGCAGATCGCAACCCAAAACGACGACGTCAACAAGCTACCGAACGTTCAAATCGGTAACCTGCCTGCTATTACGCAGGCGCCTTGTATTTTTATAGAGAACGCAAACGAGGCCCCAAGTGACATGCATTTCATGCACGTACCCCAAAACCACGCCGCGAATCAGGCGAATTTTATAATTTCCGGCCAGAGCGGCTTGCAACTGTCCAGTTACAATGTGCAAGGGGTGGGACAAATCGTTTACGACAATCAGTACGATGCGTCGGCGGTGCAGCAGCCCGCGGAAGTTCACGCGGAGATGTTGCCGGCCGAAGGTCCCCTCTCGAAACTAAACGATAGCTCGGGGCAGCAGAAAGGGGGGAAAACGTGCCCGACTTGCAACAAAACTTTCGGCACGTCCACCAAGTTGAGCCGCCACGTGAAGACCCATTCCGGGGACAAGCCTTACAAGTGCACAAGTTGCCCCAAACAGTTCACCCACAGCGGCAATTTCAAGATCCACATGCGGATGCATACGGGGGAGCGGCCTTTCAAGTGTCCCGTGTGCGATCGGGGGTGCAGGCAGGCGCAGGACCTAGAAAAACACATGCGTACCCATACAGGTAAAAAAAAAGAAGTGAGGTTATGTGAGTTATTTTTGTTTACTTTATAGTTTCTTTATATTTACGATTTGGTTTCCTTCTTAATGCTTTTGCACCAGATTTTGTTTGGTTATGTGCGTTTTAAATTGGGCAGATCTACATCACAAGGCCGTACAAGATTAAATTATGACTCATCATATTAGAGTAGGAAGAATTGATCTAAAAATTCACACATAGGTGGTGCATAGGTATTAAAAAAAATATATATTTTTTTGTACCTTCCTTGGATTTCAGGAATGAATAAGAACAAAAAAATCTTAGGAAAAAATGTCAAGAAACAAGGAGCTTGTCTTTTAAGTTGCCAAAAAATATATAAGGGTTTCAAACAAGTCAGTAGAGTACATTTTCTAACCTTAACAATGTTTTCGGAGACGCCAGTTAACTCATACAGGATTATTATATTTCTATATTTTTTTGCAAAAAAATCAAGATTACGCCATCATTTGACCTCGTTATAACCATGAAACTTAATAATTCAAAACCCAAAGGGCGTTTTTTAACCAAAATTATGCTCTCAAGTTTGTTGAAACCCGTCGAGCCTAACCGAAGGAAACTTAGTTTAGAAAAGCACACTAGATCAATTGATAGAAAAAAAAACACAACAAAGCAAGGTTAAATTTACGATCAATATGTTTGACAGTCGTCAAAAAATTTGTTCTGGTTAGTTTAATACAGTGATAATATGACATAATATTTATTTTTCGACATTGCTTTGAGCTTAAATTAAAAAAAAAATCAATATAATTTACTACTCTAATGTAATGTGATAATCACACCTTATCTTTGTAAAGCTGGTTTGGCTTAATTGCCCTCTGAGCGCACTTAATAGGGTCTTTAAAGTCATGTTGTTCAAATGTGACGTCAAAAATTGCGAAACACAAAAAAAACACGTCGCTATTGCAGGCGAGAGGCCTCACAAGTGTCCGATATGTCCCAAGGCCTTCTCGACCAGTTCCAATCTGATCGCTCACATCAGAACGCACACGGGAGAGAGACCGTACGTCTGTTGCGTGTGTCAAAAGGCGTTCTGCCAGTCCAACGAGCTCACTAAACACATGAGAACTCACACGGGGGAGAAGTCTCACATTTGCGACGTCTGCCACAGAGGTTAGTAATCCAAGTTACGGTAATCCTGCGTATTTAGTAGATGGGGAATTTTTAACTGTTTTCGCCGAATGTCATCCCACTGCGCGGCGTTGCCACAATGCTATATTAAATCGATTTAACCAGGAAATTATACAAAATAGAAAAATTGGTATATAAAATTGGCCTTTTTTATTGTAACGACGTAAGAGCAGCAATGTGATATGTCAAAACTATGTGTTTATTTTAGTTACAGGGTGACCGGTTTAAGAGGGGCCTAAACCTTGTATTATGAAAAAAGTTTTAATACAAAAGTTGTTTCCACTAAAATAACTTTTTTTTTGTATTATTTCAATTGTTACCCAATTACATGCAGGGTGTTATTTATTTTTATGTTTATTACTATCTTTGGGATTCGGTCAGATTTTTGCGAAACATTGCAACACCGCGCATTTGATAAAAACATTTCAACATAACCTGAATCCTGAAGGTATTCGCTAATAACGGGGCAATAGAGATCGATGCATAGATATTTGTATATATCCTTGGATTCATCTTTTAAAGAGTTATTTAAAAATGTAATAAAATATAAGCCATTTCAATTTTGAATGCTTTGCACCTGGCAACAGTGGGTTAACTATATCATTATATATAGCTATATAATTAGCTCTTGTAGCCATTTAATAGAAATGCGGTTTAAGGTTTCAATGGATCGAGCACCCTCATAGTGCACAAGCGGTCGCACACCGGCGAACGGCCGTACGTTTGCAAGGTGTGCGACAAGGGATTCACGCAGTCGAGTTGTCTCGCGGTTCACCTCAGGAAACACAAAAACGTCATGTGTTGCGCGCACTGCAAGAGTCACTTTACGGACGAGAGCGAGTTTAGGGAACACCTCGTCGAGCGGCACCGTTTGAGCGACTCGGACGCGTACGACGTCTTCCGGCACGTGACGGACCGCAGCGAGCACGCGTGCAACCTGTGTTCCCAGAAGTTCACCAAAGCGAGCGAGTACAAAAAACACCTTTCTCAACATTTGAACCTCCAAGAGGCTTAGATCGTTTTTTTTTTATCGTAATTAGTTTGATGACCTGTGAAAGTATTAAATCATCCGTTCTTTTTTGCAATTTATTTTTTTTTAAATCCATCCCAGATTCTATAACGTCTATGCTAATGATTACGAGTGCTATGGTTGGAGTAAGAGTCTTTGGAAAACTGGCAATGGGCGATTGTCCCGAGTGGACTTGCCCAATGAAGTTGAAGGAGTAGATTCTGTGGTCGGCATTGATTGTGTTTGGGTAGTGTGGTTTGATGTGTTTTCTTTAAACGGTTCAAGGTATATTATTGTAAAGTTATAATAAATGGGTTGTTAGTAAGCTGGCCGAATTTCCTCGTGTAGATGTGGCCAAATAAAGCATATTGGCTCCCAGACCTGGCTGGCCAGTTCCGTGGACCTCCTCGTCCTATCCATCTATTTGAATATTGTCTATGTAACTCGTTGCTAACAAATCTATCAAATCGAGTAGTAGTTATCTTAACATGGTGCCGTTTAAGTGAAAAAGTATGGCCCCACCATTCGGCTGCTTTCAATTAACCACACACGTTAACAGACCAGATCATCTATGCTGGTAATCAACGGTTCTAAAACAATAAGTTGGTTCGTCATTCTGGCAGGTGGTATTATAGTAGTTACTTTTTAGATCCTCCTGTATGGGCGAGTGGCCTTTGTTCTTTTTGCTTTAGGCATATAGTCTTAATTTGTTTCCTTAAAGAAACTGTCTCTCTCCCTCTCCCTGTCCGACAGGTAATGGATTCACACGAAGTACTTGGCAATTTTTAAAATAAAATCTCAAGAAAGAAATAACGTATTTTTTTGAAAATAAAATTGTTGCGTGTCTATAAAAATACTTTATTACTATACTTTCCGAAGTATCTGCTAAAAAAATTCGTATCCAAATTAACACACCCAGTTACAAGTGGAAAAAAGAAAACAAATAACGTTTCCGCTAAATAGGTCCTAGTTTCAATGTAAGTTGGGAATTGGAACTTAAAAACAGCAGTAATGACCAGAGTTCGCTTAACCACTACACATAAAAAACACATAAAAATCGTCAATAGCACAGAGTGAAAATTCTTTTGTTATGTGTCTTCGATTCGAGATGGAGCCGGTGAAATTAGACGGGATTCCCACTACTATCTAATTCTGTATTTCTCACGTAAACTGTTTTCTATGCTTTTACCATCTTTGGCAAAAATAAATGAAAATATGTCAATTGCGATCCGGACGATTTCGATTTCTACCTTGCGGACGTTTCCGTAATCTGCGCTTACTTCACAGAGATTCCTGTACCTTCGTTTGTAACAGCGTAATACGGAATTCTTACGATACGGGGCGCTGGCATTCTATGGGCTTTTATTATGTACTGCAATCTCACCGATGACTTCTTTCCTATTCGCCTCATACTGGTTAATCATCTATTGTTATCTAAAAAGGATGGAAAATGGCTAAATTTATTTAAAAGATGCAGCGCTAATTTACGTTTACGTTAGTTACATATCTTGTGCGCCATTTATATTGTAAATAAATAAAAAGTAGAAACTAGAATTTTCATTAATTTATTTTCGCTATCGAAGAGTCAAAAAAGAAGAGCCGGGTTTTTCAACATTCTTCCACGGATATAACCTCAAAATTTAAAACGAATAAAAAAAATGGCGCATCCACCTGTGTCAAGAATTTGGCATTTTTGAGGTTTTTCGCGCCCGTCCCCCACCCTTTTTTTTCGGAAATCACTTAAAACCGAACTATTTCCCGCGAGTGGTTGAAAACGCGCTTGCCGACGACGGTCTATTGATTAGTGTGCATGCTAATGCCGGCAGACGGCGGTGTGTCACACGGTGGCAGTTTGATCGCGGTACCCCCCGGGACTCTGCTGTCCGTGGAATCGCTACGAAAAAAAATTGCCTCGCCCCACCTCCGCCGACGGTTTAGTTCGCGTTGATCGCCGTCATAATCGCCCGGCCGGAGAATATAACCTCAAAAGTGGTCAGCATCCCCCCTCCGCACCCCATCGTGCTGCAGCGGTCGGCTTCTTCTTCGGACACCGTAAGTACAAGCGTGGACGGCGGTAGAAGGGAGGGGAGGGCTTCACGTCGTTATGGGTTCTCCAATGACGATATACAATATGATATGAGCCTCACGTGGGTATTGATCGTTGGGCGGCGTTGCCGCCGTCGCCTCGTCCGTCTCTGGGGTCGGGGATTTCCGCGGAAACGCGTTTATCGTTAAAATTATCGGCTTTAAATTTGCTGTCATATCGTAGGAGGCCGGTGTCGGCTTGTGTGCACAGACCACAGACGCGTGCGTAAGTTCAGGCACAGTCAAAATGTGATTCGAGCGATTTGTGCTGACGCCACGTTTCTATCGGATTGACATTTTTTAGCGAGAGGTAATAAATAAGTATTTATTCGACTTTTATTCCTTCCAAAATCAAATGAAAAGCTTACTCGTCGTAGTTAGGAAAAAATGCGAGATCACACCGGGGATGGCCTGGACGGTTATTAAATTCCGCAAATCGATAAAATCTCACTACACATTTGGCAACGTCTTGGAACGGGCGCCGACGCTGAGGCGTCGCCGGCGTCCCTGCCCCCCGGGACATATTATTTCATATTTCGGCCGGATTGGCGGCTTCCGTCGGCCAATGGGGCGGCGCATATCAAAATTCATATGGCAAATATGATTGGTGGTGGGGTATCGCCCGCCGGGAGCGTCTTGACGCCGACGTCGTTCCGCGCCATTGTTGTTGTTTTTGCCGCCCGTCTTTTACCTCGGAACGAGATAAAATGCGTTTCATCTACGCGTGGAATGTTCGGGGCGTCGCCCGGGCGTCGTTATTTAAATTATTAATCGCATCAGTGGTGCGCGTCCTCTATAAACCCCCTCGTAACGAACCTGACGATGTGTCACTTCTTAAAACTTACCTGTGAAAATTGAGGTTAGGAATATATGAAAATAAATTCCGACCAGTTGTTAATAATTAATAAATGAAACCCCAACATTCGATTTACTATTAAAATGTAATGTAAACGTAAATTGAAACCGAGTAAGATTGACGCGGTGGCGCACACTCCACTAGATTAAAAAGAAGAAGACTGACGTTGTACATTGTTTTCAATTAAGCATTTTGGGGTACTAAATACTATAAGTTAAATACAATAGTTATTATATTGTTTAGCGCGATTGTTGTTAAATTGTAACCCGATTTTCACGTTGCAGATAACTTTTGGAAGTTACTAAATGTCGGTATAACGAAAAAAATAACCTAACCTCACTTTGCGCACGTCGAACACTGATATGGACACCGATTTTGATCTGGTACCAACTATTTAATTAATATTGTAGCAACATACCAAGAAAGGAGCACCAGAGATTAAAAACGCTTGTTAGATTAAACTTGCCTAAGTTGTTGCAAACTGAGATTATCAGTGGGGAGTTTTCAACATACAAAGAAGATTTAAATTATTACATTTACAAAAACAATGTCGCGAACAAGTTGGCCTAGGTTGTCATTCAAGAAAATTCAGTCTCTTTACAAATACGGATTTTTTAATCCTTCTTTTGTAATTGGGAGAATCAAATTTCCAAAAATCTTTCTGGATGGGGTATAATATTATTATCATATTGTCTCAAGCCAAAGGGAAATCTGAAACATGTGTTCTGAATATTTTGGGGTCCCACGCTGTTCTAGAACGTGACGTTTATTCACGTCCCTAAATTTTTTACTTCAAATTTAATTTTTCAATAGATATCGTTTATATTAAATATTAATTTTAATTTCATTCGCCTCTTTAATTTTATATATGACTACGAAAGAATTGTCGACTTATTTGCTGAAACTTAAAAAAAAAAATCCTTTTTAATTTTACATGTTTTGTTGAAACTATGGAAAAGAAATAATGGGGGCCATATACCTTTTAACTCTTAAAGTTTTCTCGATGCACGGCTATGGACTTAAAGTATACAGGGTGTTTTCTAATTGAATGTCAATAATTAAATGGTCGATTTTTGGGTCCATTTTAAAAAGAAAAAATTTTCAAATATAAAATATATTTTTAAATATGTCTTTTCTCTTAAAGTATAAATTATTGTTACAACCTCCAATCATTTCTAAATATCTTTATTATTTATATTGTTGTTAGCATGTTCTTTTATTTCATTAAAACTGTAAAAGTAAAAAGAAGAGTCTTCTAAGATTTTTTTACTGAAGGACACAAGTTCTCTTTTTAATCAGCGCAGTGACGACTAATTAGCCAAAATATTATTTGTTCGTAGACATTCAGCGGCACGCCACTGATTTCCTTAAAAACATAATGACATTTGCATTCATTTTCACTTAAAAATAAAAACCAGTTTTACTGCATGCTGTCAGATTAACGACATTGTTAATTTGTTTCATTCATTTTTATTTATTAATCACCCGTTTCCGTCGAAACACATTTTTATTAGCGAATTTTCGACTACGTCAAACAAAAGAGTCGTTCGAGCGGCACGAAACCCTTGCGGGGCACGCCACTGGCCTCGCCGACCGTCCCCGTGCCCGCCCGCGCCCCCCTCTCGGACGCAAAATCCATTTTCTCATTTTATCTCCTGATGAACAATAGTCCAGAATCCGTTATAGTTGCTTTGTTGGCACTCCGGTGGTAGACCTGAGTATTGATCAGGAGTTCTCCCTTTGCTGCCGCTGCCGCCGCCGTCCGCCCCCCCGCCTCCCGGCCCCCCGGGGGGCCCCCCGATGACCGCTGCCGGCCACCGTCCGGCTGCCACACTATGACAAATGCTCCGGCACCCGGAATCGATAAATAACAACTATTGACATCCGTACTATCGCGCGTATCTGGTTGCTCGCAATTAAATTATACGGGGTGTTTCGCTTGTGCGAAACGGTCGATATTTGTTCACGTAAAACTTAAAACTGAATACATTAAAAATTCACTCGTCTAGCTTCAATTTAAGATATATGTACCCGTAAGTAGTTTTTGCCTTGACCTCCAGCAGAAGATTAAAATAATTTATTGTTCCCTTTTGAAACAGCAACAAATGTCAAAATTCTC